GAACTTTTAATTTTACTGAGAGCCAGAAAAAAGAGATTAGGAAATAGGAGTAGAACTGATTTGTCATTTCTCATGATTTCCTTTGATCAGCTTCCCACGAATATTTTGTTTTCTACCTGTAAAATTCTAAGCTCTGCTATTTAGTCCCATAAATCAAATGCTTCCAGAAAGAAGAACATATGTGCATATAAACTGAAAACCAATCATGTTAGATAGTCATTTGGGATATTCCTCCTACTTGGAAAATCTAATATAACAGAATTTATGGTATTGACTAGAGTTTCATCCTGAGAAGAAAAGTTGTATTGCTTGTACCCAATGATAGGAAATATTAGGCATTTGGGGGAAAGTCTCTGTTAGGATATCTTAAAATATAATAAACCATGTACCCTGAAATATGACTGCCAGTTTATACAGGGCTATATATGTTTAAAATACTATAGGAGTACATTTTTGGGTTATTGTAGTAGGTTGAATTATGCCAGCCTAAAGGCTACATTTAAATTCTAATCGTCATTATCAGTGACTGTGACATTATCTAAATAAAGGGACTTTGCAGATGTGATTAAGTGAAGGATCTAAAGATGAGACTGTCTTGGATTAATCAGATGGGCAACAAATACAATGATAAATGTCCTTATAAGAAGAGAATAGGATAAACATATGGGATAGCTAGGCCATGTGAAGGGTTGCAAAAATTAGAATTATATGACTATAGCCAACGAACTACAAAGATTACAAGTACTCACCAGTAGCTACTAAAGATTCATGGATCAGATTCTTTCTTGGCACTTCCAGGAGAAATCAGCTTTGCCAACAAGTTGATTTCAAATTTCTGGTTCTAGAACTCGGAAAGAATAAATTTCTATTGTTTCATCAAACCAGTTTGTGTTAATTTAGTTCAACAGGCATAAGAAACTAATAGACCCATGGAAACAAATAATTGCAACAACTTGAAATGCTATTTTCACATGAACAGAATATTGAAATAATGGAGAGATATAAAGCAAATAAGTGCTAAGTGGCTCGTGATAAGGTGAAGAAAAATAAACAATATTCATTCTTTATCAATACTGCAACAAACACGTTTGTATAGGTTGTTTGAATACCGTATCCTTTCTTACCTCACTCCCCATTATTTTACATATATTTTCAGGTAGTTAACATTCTGTTTTATTCTATATTCTGCTGATTTTCAGGGTAGAATCCTTAGAGATATAAAGTCAAATAGATATCACACAGCTATTGGACTCAAAGCTGGATACAGTAATTATGTAATTATAAAATGTCTTTGGTGGATACTAAATAAAAAACATAAGCAAATCATCAATAAAATAATGAAACATAAAAATTGAACAGAACACAAATAAAAAGTAAACCACACCCAAGCACATTTTAGTTAGAGATACGGAAAACCAAATAAGGACAAAATTTAAAAAAAAAAAAGTCATAGAAAAGAAGAGACACATTTCATGTAGAAAAGATCGAAGTTGTTACAACAAGCAAACGGAAAGGACATTCTTGGGTGTGAGGGGAGAGAGGGAGGAGGGAGGGAGGTGTCGGTGATGGGCCATAATAATCATATACAGTGTATATTGACAAAAAAAAAAAAAAAAAAAGATTACTTGCTATTGGAAAAAAAAAAAAAAGCAAACTGAGATATCATCTCACCGCAGTTAGACTGGCTATTATCTAAAAGACAGATAATGACAAATGCTGGTGAGGATCCAGAGAAAAGGGAAGCTTCTACACTGCCGATGGGACTGTGAGTTAGTACAGACTTTAAGGAAAACAGTATGGAGGTTTCTCAAAGAACTACACATGGAACTACCATGAAATCCAGCAATCCCACTACTGGGTATATGACCAAAGGAACAGAAATCATCATGCAGAAGGGAAACCTGCACTCCTGAGTTTACTGCAACTCTATTTACAATAGCCATGGCATGGAACCAACCTAAATGTCCATCAATGGATGATTGGATAAGGAAAATGTGGTATATATACACAATAGAATACTACTGTGATGTAAAAAGAATGAAATTCTGCCATTTGCAGCAAGATGGATCAACTTGGAGAAAATAATGCTAAAAGAAATATGTCAGGCATAGAAAGAGAAATACTGCATGCCCTTACTCATAGTGGGATCTGAAAAATAATAAACTTTAGCTCAGTTGGTTAGAGTGTATTCTCATAACCCCAAGGTCACAAGTTCAAATCCTTGTACTGGCCAGACACACAAAAATAATAAAGAATAATACAAATAATTTAAAAATAATAAAGAAAAAAGAAACAACTCACTAATTGAACTTTCAGAAGGAGAGATCAGAGTAGGGGAAGGAGTAGGTGGAGGGAGGTTTAGGGAGAAATTGGTTAATGGACATAAAAAATGAGTACACTTTGTCATGAAGAATTTGCCAACTATCCCGAATTCATCATCACATATTGTACACAAATACCGATGGTCACCTCTGTACTCCCAAATATGTATAAACCATTATGTTTCATTTAAAGAAAGAAGAAAAAAAAACAAGGGTCTGTGGGTCTGATAAAATCATTCTCACCATGTTTATCTGCCTAATATTCTCTGATAAAATGTTCTGGAATAGGTAACCCATATTTATGCTATGGGGAAAACATCGCTCTTTAAAGCCCTCAGAAAATGAACTCAAAACCCATATTCACGATTTCTGATTTGAAAACAAAGGAATAAAGTTCAGGAGAATATAGGATTAAATGGCCTTTTCCCCACACTCTATGCACAATCTTACCTGTAAGCACACAGCATAGATATGCAAAAGCTCTCTTGGCTCTCTGCTTCACACCATCCCTCCTCCACAGTAGGGCTGATAGCCACTGCCTATAATGAAAGATCTGGCTGTCCCTGAAATGTTTGTCCCTGAAATGTCATTACAGGACACAGCAGTCTGTGAAGGTGAGTGCTACAGAGTAAAGAGTCACCCACCATTGGTTTTTCTCAGCTCCTCCACAAGGCAGCGGGCTTCCTCTTGAATACATTCCTCAATGGTCCTCTTTCCCATCCCAAAATTCCGCAGGGTCATGAGTGAGAAACGCCGGGTCTCTTTCCATCTCTTTCCATTGCTGAAAATGATTCCTAACAGACAGGGAGCAGAAACTAGGAGGGAGATCCCAGGCAAGGAAGAGCGAACTGACACTTGGCAGCCACGTGTCTGGGCCAAGCTCTGCCTGAGGATTTCTTCGAGTCTCTGATTTCAGCTCTCCCACCCCCATTACCAATGCTGACACAGGCACATGCACACCTACCATGTCCTTTATTAAATTTGTCCATCACTGGGAAACTGCCTCTTCCAGAAAACTCCTCTCCCATATTAATCAGGGCTTCCTTCACTGCTTCATATCCATGCAACACAACCGTGGGCTTCATGCCAAAATAAACAGTGAACACAGGGCCATGGATTTTTGAGAACTGGGAAAGGAGATGAAAATCATAGCAAAATAAGTGATGATATGGTTCATATATTGTGCCTGATTCCGATATATTGTCATTATAGTCTCTATACTTTTATTCTACTACGCACAGCTTCAAATATTTCTGAAGTTTATTTATAAATATGATTGTGATTTTTTATAGTTTCCACTTATGGATGACCTATGATGTGTCATACAATGCCCAGGTAATTGGTACACAGATTACAATTAATCCTCCTACCAACACATTCAGCAGGTATCTGTATCCTGTTATAAAACAAAAAGCTGAGGTTAGATAATTTCAAATTCATTTTCAGTGCCCCAGAGTTAATGCACAGAAGATCCAAATTTGATCCTCTCCTAATTCAACCTCTGATTCTGAGCAATTTATCAGCCCTACATGCTCACCTTGAGACCACCACCAAGCCGATGGCTTCAGGATCCCCTGTAAAGCTTTTACCATAAGGATCCTCACTCAGTAGCCCTGTGATAAACACTAGAAATCTATAGTTATAAAGTCACCCCAGGTGATTCTAATGACCATGCCACTTTGAGACATGCTGGTATTACCAGCACAGACATAGTGAGCACCATATGGGAAGCATCAAGACATCCAGCATCTCCAGGAAGAACAATTTCTAACATCCTCCAGCAATTTTGGACACAGACAGCAGGTTTGTGCAGAAACTGAAAATCTTCTGATACTACCAAGTCATTCACTTATACTGGTCTTGAGCCTATAACTATTTCCTTATCATCAGAGAAAATAGATTGATTCTTCAGAGAAGTAAAATTTCCATGGTTATTCTGAATGAAACACAGGAAATTATAACAGATGACTTTTTAATGAAATCTCAAATCACAAACACACACTTCCCTTATCATTTACCTTCAGAAGGAAAATACAGAAAATGGCTATAAAACAAAGGGAAGCAGCACTCCCAGTGTTTGTCACTTTATTACTTTAATTCTACCATACAAGAGCCCAAATGTTTCTCTACTCACAAAATACATTACTTCCTTCCACTATTTCTTAAAAAGAGAGACTGAAATAGGCAACTGAAACATCAATGTTCATAGGGAGTATTTTGCTTTATCATAATCAATTATGTTCCTTTATTATATACACTATTGAAAAATTATTGTACATATTTATGAGGTATGAAATGTATTATGATTTTTAATGCAATGGGGAATGATTGAATTAACCTATTGATATAACCTTCACCTCCAATATTTAACTTTTTTGTGATGAGAATATTAGATATTTACTCCCTTATCGATATTGAAATGTGCACTTCTAAATTTTTACCTAAATCCAGCATACTGTGCAATTGATATAAAAAAGAATCAGGAGTTCCAGTCAAGATGGCAGAGTAGTCTGTTCCTGGTGTTGCTCTCTTCCACAGAATGACAAATTCACAACTATTAAGGAGCAATGACAGAATACCTGAGATCTGCACTGGAACAGGCAAGAAGTGCACACCACAGGACCCCAGTTCAGGTTGCTCCCCACTGCATAGAGAGACTTCAGAGCTTCTGGGCCCACATGACCAGAGTATGCTCAGCCAGAGAAGCCAGCAGGGTGGGACTTCCAGCCCAGGTCAGTTGCTGCTGCCAGGAGAGACTTAAGAGCCTTGGGGCTCCTACACCCTGAGCCAGCCATTTCAGAGAACTCAGGTGAGACTTCTGGTGCAGGCCAGTCCCTGCCACTGGGGGAGACTGAAGAGGCTCGGGGATGCCACACCCTGAGCCACCTGTGCTGGAGAAGGTAGGTGGGGTGGAACTTCTGGCCCAGGCTGGTCCCCACCACTGGGAGAGACTTAAGAGCCTTGGGGCCCCCTCACCCCAAGCCAGCTGTTTCAGAACAGGCAGGCACAGTGGGAACCCCATCCCAGGCTAATTCCTGCTGACCAGAAGTGGCAGTCCCATCAGGATCCAAGCCAGACATCAGGGTGAAACAAGTGGACTGTGATACCCCCAACCACAATGACAAAATACAAAAGGAAAGATAACAGAAATATGAAAAATCAAGAAAGTACATCACCACCAAAGGAAAATAATAACTCTCATCCACTAGATCCTATAAAAGAGGAAGTCTTTGAAATGACAGGCAAGGAATTTAGAGTAATAATTCTAAGGAAACTAAATGAGATACAGGAAAACTCAGTTAGACAATACAATGAAATGAGAAAAAATATAATGGATCTGAAAGAAGAAATGTGCAAAGAAATAAATGCCTTGAGAAAGAATGTAGCTGAGCTTATGGAGCTGAAGGATTCATTCGAAGAAATAAAAAAACACAACAGAGAGTTTAACCAGCAGACTTGAACAAGCAGAAGAGAGAATTTCTGACCTTGAAGACAGGCTGTTTGAATTAACACAGGCAGACTAGAAAAAAAGAAAAACAAAAAGAATCAAAAAAAATTGAAGAAAATCTGAGAGACAACAGACAACCTTAAGTGCTCAAATATCTGAATAATGAGTATTCCAGAAGGGTCAAAAAAAGACAATGGCATTGAAAACAACTAAATGAAATGATAGCAGAAAACTTCTGAGGCATAGGGAAAGTCACAAATCTCCAGATTCAGGAAGTCCAAAGGTCTCCAAACACATTCAACCCAAAAAGATCCTCTCCAAGACATGTGATGATCAAACTGGAAAAACTCAAAGACAAGGAGAGAATCTTAAAAGGTGCAAGAGAGAAGCATCAAGTCACCTATAACTGAGCACCAATCAGAATAATATCAGACTTTTCATCAGAAACCCTAAAAGCCAGAAAAGAATTGCATGATATATTCAAAACATTAAAGGACAAAAATTGCCAGCCAAGAATACTTTACCCAGCAAGGCTATCCTTCCAAAATGAAGGACAAATAGTATATTTCTCAGACAAACAGAAAACTATGGAAGTTCACTACCACACAACTAGCCCTACAAGAAATTCTCAAGAAGTACTGGGTTTGATACCACAGAAACAACCATCACTGTCATGATTATGCAAGAAAGACAAATACCTACCAGCAAAACAAAAATGCTAACAAGAGAAAAAAATAGTTTATCTATCTCCCCAAGAAGCCAAAAAATACAGAAGACAAACAGAAAATTAGAAAGAAAGGAGCAAAATGTACTAAAGACATCTAAACAAAAATCAGTCAAATGGTAGGAGTAAATCAACACCTTTCAATAATAACTCTAAATGTAAAGGGATTAAATTCTCCATTCAAAAGACACAGACTGACTGGATTAAAAAGATGCACCCAACATTATGCTGTCTTCAAGAGACTCACTTGACCTGTAAAGACATACATAGACTAAGAGTGAAAGGATGGAAAAAGATATATCGTGCTAATAGAAATGAAAAATGAGCTGGAGTAGCTATTCTTATATCAGATAAAATAGACCTTAAAGCAAAAACCATAAAAAGAGATAAAGAAAGCTACTATAAAATGATAAAAGTATCTAGCCATCAAGAAGACATAACAATCATAAATATATATGCACCCAATGTCAGTGCAGCAAGATTTTCACAGCAAACACTATTAGATCCAAAGAAAGAGACAGACAACTATAAACAACTATATGCCAACATATTAGAAAATCTGGAGGAAATGGATAAATTTCTAAGTGCATACAAACTACCAAAACTGAGGCAAGAAGATATAGAAAATCTGAACAGACCAATAACAATAAAAGAGATTGAAACTGTTATCAGAAGGCTCCCAACAAAGAAAAGCCCAGGACTGGATGAATTCACTGCAGAATTCTACCAAATCTTCAAGGAGGAACTGATACCAATTCTCTCCATACTGTTCCAAAAGATTGAAACAGAGCCCATTCCCCCAAACTCATTCTATGAGGCAAACATCATAAAGATACTGTAACCAGACAAAGACACATCAAAGAAAGAAAACTACAGTCCAATATCCCTGATGAATATAGATGCAAAAATCCTCAATAAAACACTAGCTAACAGAATACAGCAACACACACAAAAAATTATACACCATGATCAAGTGGGATTCATCCCAGGGATGCAAGATTGGTTCAACATATGCAATTCAATAAATGTGATACACTACCTCAATAAAAGCTAAAACAAAAACCATATGATCATCTCTATAGATGCTGAAAAAGCATTTGACAAAATTCAACATTCTTTCATGATAAAGACTCCCCACAAGTTAGGCATAGATGAAAAGTATCTCAATATAATTAAAGCCATATATAATAGGCCCACTGCCAATAACATCCTGAATGAAAACAGGAACTAGACAAGGATGCCCACTCTCACCACTCCTATTCAACATAGTGTTGGAAGTACTAACCAGAGCAATCAGAGAAGAGAAGGAAATAAACGGCATCCAGATTGGAGAGGATAAGGTCAAGCTGTCCCTGCTTGCAGATGATATGATCCTATATATTGAACAGCCTAAAGCCTCAATTAAAAAACTCCTAGAGTTGATAAATGATTTCAGCAAAGTTGCAGGATACAAAATCAACACACAAAAATCAGCAGCATTTCAATTCTCCAGTGGTGAACATGCAGAAAAAGAGATCAAGAAAGCTAGCCCATTTACAATAGCAACCAAAAAAAAAAAAAACCACTTAAGAATAAAGCTGACCAAGGATGTGAAAAAACTCTACAAAGATAACTACAAACCACTGTTGAGAGAAATTAAAGAGAACATGAGAAGATGGAAAGATATCCCTTGCTCTTTGATTTGGAAGAATTAACATTGTGAAAATGCCCATGTTACCCAAAGAGATCTACAGATTCAATGCAATCCCCACCAAAATTCCAATGACATTTTTCTCTGAGTTGGAAAAGGCTATCTAGACATTTGTATGGAACAACAAAAGACCACACATAGCCAAAGCAATTCTGAGCAAAAAAAAGTTGGAGGCATAACACTACCTGACTTTAAACTATATTACTAAGCTATAATTACCATAACATCATGGTAATGGCATAAAAAGAGACACACAGGTCAATGGAAAAGAATAGAGAACCCAGAAATCAATCCATATGTCTACAGCCATCTGATCTTTGATGAAGGCAGCAAATCTACATAGTGGAGACAAGGCTGCCTTTTCAACAATTGGTGCCAGGAAAATTTTATACTCATATGTAGGAGAATGAAACTGCACACGTACCTTTCACCATACACCAAAATCCACTCTAATGGATTAAAGAATTAAATATACATCCTGAAACAATACAAATCCTTAAAGGAAACACTCCAGGTAGTAGGAGTGGGTACAGACTTCATGAAAAGGACCCAAAAAGTACAGGCAATTATAGGAAAAATAAACAAATGGAATTATATCAAACCGAAAAGCTTCTGCACTGCAAAAGAAACAATAAACAGAGTAAAAAAACAACCAAGAGAGTGGGAGAAAATATTTGCAAAATATACATCCAACAAAGGATTAATATATAAAAGAATATGACAAAGAATATATAAGGAACTCAAACAACTTTACAGCAAAAAAATAAAATAAAATAAAATAAAAATAACCCAATTAAAAAATGGACAAAGTAGCTGAACAGCCATTTCTCAAAGGAAGATATACAAATGGCCAACAGACACTTGAGAAAACACTCAACCTCACTCAGCATCTGGGAAATGCAAATAAAGACCATTTTGAGATACCATCTCACTCCACTTAGGATGGCTAAAATCCAAAAGACTAAGAATGATAAGTGCTGGAGAGGTTACAGAGAAATGGGAACTCTCATACACTGTTGGTGGGGCTGCAAAATGGTGCAGACTTTATGGAAAACGGTATGGAGATTCCTCAATTACAGATAGATCTACCATATGACCCAGCTATTCCACTGTTGGGAATATACTCAGAAGAATGGAAATCATCATACCGAATGGATACCTGTACTCCAATGTTTATTGCAGCTCTATTTACAATAACCAAGAGTTGGAACCAGCCCAAATGTCTATTATCTGATGACTGGATAAGGAAACTGTGGTATATCTACACAATGGAATACTACTCTGCTTTAAAAAAGAATGAAATACTACCATTCACAACAACATGAATGGACTTAGAGAAAATTATATTAAGTGAAACAAATCAGGCACAGAAAAAAAAATACCACACATTCTCACTTATTTGCAGGAGCTAAAAATAAACAAATAAACACACAAGCAAAATCAAGGTGGAGGAAGAAGACAGAATAACCACAAAAAATTCCTTGAACTATTTAAATCAAGTGAACAGATATAATGTGGTGGGGGGAGGGTGGAGAGGAATGGATAGTGGGACCTGAAAATAAACTATGATGTATATTGAGAAGTAAAATAAATAAATAAATAAAAACCAGACATTCCTCCTACTTAACTAAGACTTCAAACTGCAATAGTCTATTACCATAGTGTGCCTCCAAAAATATATTTATTTTAGAATAGAAGAAAATATATTTACTCTTTGCAAACCACTGAAGGAGAATAAACATACTTACATTGCTTAAAGATTTGGCGATGTTCTTAACATCTATCTGTAGGATATTTCCAATAATTGGGAGAGGAGTGGGGCCAGGTGGGAGCTTCCCTTTCCCAGAGCTCTGTCTCCATACTGAAAGGAGAAGCAAACAGGAGAGACAGAGCACCAGGACCACCAATGGATTCATTGATGCCTTCTCTTCTCACAAGACAGCTGTGATCTTGCAATCCAAAGCTTTTTATAACTCCCCCTGCTAATTCAGTATGTGCCTCTTTGATGTATAAAGCAATCAGTAAGCTAGATCCACTTATGTAAGGCTGAGTGGACTTTTGCCCAATAAGAGATAAAAACAAAGAATGTTGTAAAATCTTGTTCTTTCTTTCCAATGCTTACTCTGGACATTCTTGTTTAATTGCACTGGGCTGGAGCCCAGGTATTGGTAATAAAAAAAAAATGGTGACTCCAATGTGCAGCTGTGACTGAAAACTCCCAAAGTAAATCATTTGATGCAAGAAAATTACTCAAAATTCTAGATTCCCAGATTAATGACCTGTTGGGAATTTACGACTTTGAGGCTAATACAGATTTTTATTTTATTCTATGCCTTCTAAAAAAAATGCATGTTATAACGTTATATCAAACACTAGGAGACTTTGTCCTGTATACTGAAAGCTTTTCATATTTAATGTTTTCTACTAACACTTTAGCTGCCTAAACACGAAATAGCTAACATAACTATACATCTTAATTGACCAGATACATATCAAGTTTTTAACTTACAAATTTACATAATTTCACCATTAAATTTTTTAAAAATACTGGAGGGTGGAGATTATTGTTTTTATTTTTCAAACGGAGTTACACAGATCACAGGTGGCAGAACTGGGATTTGAACCGAGATCTTCTGCTGCCCATTGTGGTGCACTATGGCTTACACAACAGCTGCCTCGACAACAATTTTAGCAAAACAAAACTAATTCCCAAACGTTATTTACTCTAAATGTGCCCCCCGTTGACTCAGTTCATAAAGCAACAGGCTTCATATTTAATAGAAGTTCCTTATTTCACTCCACATATACAGGACAAGAGGTGCTCAAGAGAGGAAATAAAAGATGTGCTCCTCCATCTTCATCACCACAGATGAAACTTGCTCAGTGCATCTGTGAGATGAGCTAGTCTCAAAGAATTTTGTGGGAAAGGCTTGAGAAAAGATGTCATCTCCTACTTCCCAGCTGCCTCCAAACATAGCTGCTTCTGTTGTCCTGGGTCTGTCATTGTCAGAAATGATAGAATGTGATAATACACATCAAAGAAGGGTAATTATAGACAAATCAACGGTTGTGGATTCAATAGAGGATGGGAAGTAGGGAAATCATTTAATAAACCCACGGGCACAGAACCACCATAATGTGCAGACCTGAGCTGGAGATGACATTTAGTGGTCATGAAAATCTAAATACAACTAGAATGATATACATCACAAGATGACTAATGGCAATGCTTGTTGAAAGATGTATTCTGTAAGGATTTTATTTTGCTCTAAATTGATTGGTGCAGATATTATCTGTTTTAGTAAAAAGAAAAATTAGGTCATGTCAAGACCCAGTGATGTTTACAGGGATTGTGGTCATGTTTACAGGGATTCTGAAAATTTACACATAATTTACGAACCCATCATATCACTTTTGAGTCTTTGACTTACCTTTGCCTACGGTAAAATGATTCCCATTTTCTGAATGAGGAAGCTGGGCCTCCAAGATTCAGTGCCTTGTTCAAGGGCACGCAGACTGTAGGTTATAGAGCTGAGGCTGGAATCCATATCCCCTGCCTCTTGTACCCTCCCTTCCAAGAAAAACATTCAATTCAACCGGGTTCACCAACGTTATCTGATTGTGTGCTATGATTCAATATATAAGAAAAGCCTAATCAGCAACTTTCAAAGTAAATATTAATTTAGTAAATAATTGCAGCACTACTTGACTAAAAAGGGGGTCAGTAAAGTTTGGTTTTATGACCTTTAGAACTTGACTGAGTCCAGGTCTTGGTGAACCTTTGTTCACGGTAAAGAGAAACAGTAACTTCTGGCTGACTGACATACCTCTGAACATAAAGGAACCTCTCCTCAAACAGCTGAAGATAGATCTACCATACAATCCAGCTATCCCACTGCTGGGAATATACCCAAAGGAATGGAAATCATCAAGTCGAAGGTATACCTGTTTCCCAATGTTCATTGCAGCACTCTTCACAATAGCCAAGAGCTGGAATCAACCCAAATGTCCATCATCGGATGAGTGGATACGGAAAATGTGGTATATCTACACAATGGAATACTACTCAGCTATAAAAACAAATGAAATACTGCCATTTGCAACAACATGGATGGACCTTGAAAGAATAATACTGAGTGAAACGAGTCAGGCAGAGAAAAAGAAATACCACATGTTCTCACTTATTGGTGGGAGCAAAAAAAAAAAAAAAAACAAATTAATTCACCCACATACACACACAAAAAAAAAAACAGGGGTGGGTGGGGAAGAAGATATAACAACTATACTTTTATGAAGTTGTTACAACAAGCAAATGGAAAGGACATTCTTGCGGGGGAGGGGAGAGAGGGAGGAGGGAGGGAGGTGTCGGTGATGGGCCATAATAATCATATACAGTGTATATTGACAAAATAAAAATTTAACGAAAAATAAAAAATAAACATAAAGGAACCTCACCACCTTATTTTGGATAAAATAAGCTCAATTGTTCTCTTCAGAGCAATGATTTCTTTCTTTGAAAGACAGGTATCCCTGCTCTGTTCCTCCTCCCTTCTGCTGAACTGAGAGTCTTGCCTGGACTTTTCTTTTTACGGAATGAAAGAATCATAAATAATTTCAACCAGGAAGGGATATCTGAGATCAACTAGTCTAAATTTTGTTTTGTTTTTTAAGAATGAGGAGTTGAAGACTTGGTGAGATAAAGTGTTACCAATGCCTCAGTTTTGTTTTAGAATCCTGGTTTCCAACATTCCCAGAACTTTCAGTTCAGTGACATCTCCCATCCCATCCCTTAGAATTCCCATCTTGGTTCAAATGAGCAGGAGGGTATCAGCATTAAGACATCCATAGTCACAGAGTAATATATACCTCAGCTTGGCTAGAGTTGTGACTTTGGACAGGTTTTGGGGGGTTTTTTCATTGACAGAATTTATTTTTCAGACCAGTTTGAGGTTCATAGCAAAATGAAGTGGACAGTACACACTTCCTGCAAACCCCTCCTCACACCCACCCACAGCCTCTCCAAAATCAACAGCTCTCACCAGTGTGGTTCATTAGTTACAATTGATGAACCAACATTGACACCTTACCAACCAAAGTTCATAGTTTATAGATTTGCATTTGGTGTTTTGGTGTTGTGCATTCTATGGGTTTTGACTAGCGTATAATGACAAGTATCCACTCTTGTAGTATCACACAGAATAGTTTCACTGCCCTAAAAATTATATTTGCTCTGCCTATTCATTCCTCCCTTCCCTCAGGCCCTGGCAACAAATGATCTTTTTAGTGTCCCCATTGTCTTGCCTTTTCTAGGATGTCATACAGTTGGAATCATACAATATGTAGGCTTTTTAGATCAGTGTCTTTTACTTAGTAATATCCATAAGGTTCCTCCACGTCTTTTCATGGCTTGATAGCTCATTTCTTTTTAACACTAGATAATATTCCATTCTATGGATGAACAATAGTGTTTTTTTTTTATTTCATCAGAGTTTTGTAGTTTTCCTCAAATGATATTTTACATGTTTTTCAGACTTCTACATAAATATTGCTAGAACATAAAAGTAACTGAACTTCTTTATATTAACTTTGTGTCCTGCAACCTTACTATAATTACCTTTTAGTTCCAGGAGTCTTTTTTTTTTTTTTTTTTTTTTTTTTTTGCTTTGTTTGTGCTTTGGTTTTTTGTTTAGCTTTTGTTTATTCTTTGAGATCTTCTACATGGACAATCATGTGATCTACAAAAATGACACTTTTATTTCTTCATTTACAATCAGTATACCTTTTATTTTATTTTCTTGTTATTGCATTAGTTAGAATTTCCAGTACAATGTTGAATAGGACTGGTAAGAGGGGACATCTTGCCTTGCTCTTGATCTTATCCAGAAGGTCTTAAGTTTTTCACAATTTATGAAGATGTTAGCATTCAGGTTTTTGTAGATGCCGTTTATCAAATCCTAAAATTTCTTCTCCTATTCTTTGTTGAGAGTTTTTATCATGTATGTTTGTTGCATTTTTGTCAAATGCTTTTTCTACACATATTAATATAGTCATGTCTGTGGGGAAAATAGGATAATTTAGTCAGGTTCCCTCGACATTTCTCGTAAACAAGTTGTATGTGGGCGGAGTTAGTGCACATGGGCACCCATGTATCTTTCTAGTTAATTGCTATTGTGTATTCTTCAGTTTGTGAAGCAGGCTGGCTGGCAGAGAGCTTGCATCTAAAAATATAGCATGTTTACACTGCTGGCAGCTGCTCAGTTTTTCTTTGGACTTTGCCAGCAGCAGTTGAGTTTCTGAGTTTCTCCTTGTACTGCCTAGCTCATAGTATTGTGTATACTGAATAAAGACTATTCCTTATTCAACCAAGGCTCCAAGGACTTTTTTTTCTGTTTACCTGGCTCATAGACTTGTGTGTGAAGGGTTTGTGAATGGGCTTGAGGGGTCTGTGAGCTCCAGACCCAGACTTAGCTCTACAATTCACACAGTCAGAGCAGGATTCTGAGCAGGTACAGGAACCAAGAAGCCCTTGGAGAAGGAGGAAATGTTGCTACTTTTGAACATGTTGTGCCCTTTGGCCACTTTCCTATTGATCAGGATCTGGTTGCTGCTCGCTGTAATGCAAGGCAGCATAGACAAGGCACTGAAGTGGAAAGTCCCTTGGAATGGTGAGAAAATGTGGCTGTCTTTTAGCATGTGGTTCCCAGTGGCCACTTTTCTGCCAACCGAAGCCTGGCTTCTGCTCCCGCTTTTGCCAACTGATCAAGATTTGAAGTGGAAAGCAGAGTTGTTGGCAGATGATGTGTAGCTACTGGAAGATGTGAAGTGGAAAGCAGAGTTCTTGGTGTGGATAAATATCCTGGAGGATGACGTGCTGCAACTGTCCACTCTGGCTTCTCACACCAGGGAAGAGGACAAA